GAGAGACCTCCATCTGATGGGCAGGATCTCTTCCCACCATAAAGCCCTTAATAAGATCAAGATCCTCTGCCCTTCACATAAGTCTGCTTAAGCCCTCCATAACAATAAGAAGAAGGAAAGACGACAAGGGATCTCCTTGTCATAATCCCCGAGTACACCCAAAGAAACCAGCTGAAGACCCGTTCACAAGAACAGAGAACTTGACAAATAAGAGACATGTCTCAATCCATTTCGTCCATTTACTTCCAAACCCCATCTCTATAGCAAATAAACCAGGAAATTCCAATTCACATGATCATATGCTTTCTCTATGTCAAGTTTGCATAAGACTCCGGGAACACCACTTCTCAATCTAGAGTCCACACATTTGCCTGCAATAAGAACTGAATCAAGAATTTGGCGTCCTTCGACAAAAGCATTCAGGAAATCCGATATAATCCCATCCATCACTTTCCTCATCCTAAGAGCAAGAACCTTAGCCATGAGCTTGTAGATACAACCCACTAAGCTGATAGGTCTAAAGTCTTTAATGTCAAAAGCACCTCCCTTCTTAGGGATAAGGGCAATAAATGAGGCATTTAGCGACTTCTCAAAAGCGCCAGTAGAATAAAACTCCAAAAAAGTGCCCATCACCAATGTTTGTATATATACACAGCTTTTGTAATAGAATTCAAGACATATTGGCAAGTGTCCACCTCAAGGGCATTTTGGTTTTTGCAAATGTTAAGCATCCATGTGACACGTGTCCTGTGGTCCTAGTGTGAGATGATGAAGTCAGTTATGCATTGCTTAGTGATTAAGCTTGATATATATAGTTGATATATATACACATACAAGCTGTCAATTAGCTTGCTCACTAGAGGACAAAATTGCAAAGGTGGCAGGGGCTTTGTGGCCCTTTCAAACAGAGAATGTCATAAAATATCCTTGCAAAATGATTGGCTAACAGTGCCATGTATTTCCTCATTAGGGGCAAGACCTCAACTATGTGTACTACTATATATATATATCATGTTATAGCAGCTGCAGCCAAGAGAGCCTAATATGTGATTTGTGAGCCTCCTAAGTGTGTGCATTGTGCATCTCGAAAGCAAAAAGATTAACAAGGATCACTGAGAGTTTAGATTCAATCTTGAGCTTCATTTCATCTCAGATTCTATATTGAGAGCACACAAATGTATTGAAGATTAAGAAAGGCTGCATGTTGCTATTTACTGGTGCAGAAGGCTGGTTCAAAGAGTTTATTCAAGCTTGAGGCCTTTTCTTTGGTGTGCAGAGGTTGAGGCAAGTTTGATTTGCTTGTTTACAACTGCAGAAACTAAGTTTATATACATATTACTGCTGTAGTTGTTTTTTATATCTCAGACCTATGATTAGTTGTTGTTTTCTGGTTTAAGCCCTCTAATATGTGCTTATATATATGATATCATGCTGCGAGCTACATTTCTATCATCTGAGCATGTTTATATATCTGATTTGAGGTTGTTCAAGTGGGGACTTGGCCAGAAAAGTGACCATTGCAGTGGTTGGTCTTGTGAACCTTCATAACTAGGGTTTTCAGCTGAGATAAGGCATATTTGTGTATTGTTAATATTACATCTTCTTGTTATCACTGTGATTAACATATAAGCATGAGTACATTGAAGATATAAGGCCATGTGAATCAAGTTCTAGTGATAGTTGATACGAAATTCCAATTTTACCCTTGATACCATTGGAATTGCAGAAACAGACCTTGTTGTGTATTGACATTGATAAAACTTGCTACACTCATTATGATTATCATCAAAGCAAGTTCTCTTTATTGAATCAAGGCTGTAAAAACTGTGGTTGAGTTCTAATCAGGGCTGCATTGAAGAATGACACCTCAAACCTTGTAAACTAGGTTGTTGAGATTTTAAGCCTCTTGTGTACTGACTTTGTTACATCTTGCTATATTCACTGTGTTTAACAATTGAGCAAGTGTATATTGACATTTGGGGGCTGTGTGTATCATTGGTTGGACTGTGACATGGTCTGTACTTGTTTTCATCCTTGAGATCAAGCTTGTTCAAGTTTTCTGTAAAAACCAGTTCTTGTAAGCACTGATTTTGTTATACCTTGTTGTTCATTGAGTGATCATCTTACAAGCAAGTGTATTTTATCTATTGAAGACAGTGGAGGTGAATGTTGGATCTGTTTTGAAGTTACATTCTGATTTGATTATACAGATCTCAAGCCTGCAAAAACTGTGACAGCATTTGTTGCTATAATCCACCTTTATAGCTGTGTATTAACTCTTATCTTGTTGTAACAGCTAGTATAAGATGTGTTTGGTGTATTGACACATCTTGTAATTGTTGTAGAAGCTATTGAGAGCTTTGAGGGTCCAAGCAAGGGTGTTGTGGACAGGGGGTGTGCTGTGTGCACCAAGTAGAGCTAGTGTGTGTGTAGAGGCTGTGAAAACTAGTGTTTCAACTTGTACTAGGGTGCGTGCAGAGTGTGAGACAGCTGAGTGTGTAACTACTTGCATACAACTAGTGGATTTGCATTGGCTGAGGCCAAGAACCAATGTTTTTGATCCCTGATTGAGAGGGGTTTTCCTTGTAATATCTTCTATCTCTGTGATTGATCTTGTGGTTCAAAGCACTTCATACATACTGAGTTAACCGCTTTTAAAGTATGCAGAAAATTGATTATGTGTTAGAATAAGTTATATGAACCAATTCACCCCCTCCCCCTCTTGGTTCATCAAAAAAGTTGGTTGCAAATTAACATCCACAAGGCCTATTCAAACACCCCCGCCCCTCTAGGTCTAAATCACCATTCTTACTCTAACATGTCAAAAGCCTTTGAATAAAAATCTTCAAATTTCTCGTTTGGTATCAGAGCACGTTACTCAACATTGTACCTGTAAACAAACAGATCAGATTTGGACCAGATCAAGCTATTCATCTGATGGATAATTCATAAATGAATCCATATCCGATTTGTAATTAATCGGATATCTGACCCAATAATCCGATCTATCAAGGGTGTAGTTATATGTTTATAATATTATATAACATATTATGTCAGATCGGACTGGCCATAATCCATAGTTTGTTTAATTAACAAATTATCGGGTTCAGATTGTTAATGGGTCATTGGATTTAATCTTCAATTCATATATGAGTTATCGGATCGGATTCGAATCAAAATCCAATCTATGGATAAGTCTAGTACTTTGGAGAGAACCATGGATATTAAAAAATTAGACAAAGTTGATTTTACTAATTCTGATGATTATGCTTTCTTTGATAGTTTGTTGCATCACACTAATTCTAATTTATTTGATATTACATCTAGCAATGATTGTGAAAGGGAGATAATTTCCATAAGATTATGGTAAAATCACAAAAGCCTCCCTATACTATAAATTTGTATCATATATAATAATTAAATCTCATTAAACCCCTTAACATTTTCCAAAATTCATCAACTTACCCCATTTCCGTTAGGTTACCATGAAAGAACACAAGAGGTTATCATGTGCCAAATTTCACTTGGGTCATCTTCTTCTTCTCATAAACCAGACCATAGCCCTGCGAAATCTTCAACTCAAACGAGCTCAAACGCCTCAAAGGCGAAATCAAACTTGTTTCTTTTAGGGATTAGGAGTAAACTTGTGCATGTGTCTGTTTGTATATATATATATGTATGTGTGTGTGTGTGTGTGTGCGCGCGCGCAGGGTTTAAGGGAAAGAAGAGAGGGTTTCTAAAAGTTTTAAGTGGACGAATATGGACGTGGTTTTTCTTCAAAACGACAGGAGTTGAAATTGGCGCAGTGTGGGCCATGTCCAGAAGTGTCCATGAAGTGTCAGTGTCCAACACGGACACAACACCCTCGTAGAAGTGTTTGTTCCAACTATAATCAAAAGATAAAACAATCTACAAACTTGACTCTGCTTCTTCTTCTTTTTTGTTGTTGTTGATATCCATTTTTATTCATAAAGAGTCTACTCAAGTAGCAAATCCTTTTGCCTATTCATATATATTCTACCAGAAAGAACATCAATTTAGGAGCCAAGATGAGACAATTTTGCAACTTACTCATTTTCTTCTATCTGTCTATTCATTCCTTAGCAACAGTAGATGATATCATACACATTCACAACACAATATCAATATTTTTCAAGGTCATAACAAAAACCGCCTTGCAATACTTTGAACAACATCCACTAAATGTTTAAACTTTTACGTATGAAAATTACATGTCGAATTCTTAAATGTAACTATATATTTCTTTGTTCGCAGTCAGTTGTTAAGATAAATTATTCCAAGTACTTGTGACTTGTAAGCCCTTTTAACAGTTTATTTTGAGTTTGACATTAGCAAATGAACCACAAAAGTTAATTTCCACAAAAAGAAGCAAGATAGGTTCAAGACTCTTTGTGTAACCAGCATCAGTAAATAATAACTCCAAGTACTTATGAGCCCTTTTTAAGGGTTTATTTTGAGTTTGACATCAGTTAAAACAATAGTGACTCCAATCAACCACATATGAATGGGTTCAGTCTTTTCTAGAAGATGCAAAACCTATTCACACAATGCAAATATGCTGCTAGTGTTAGAAACCCTTGTGAAGGTTTTATGGTCATCTCAATTTTACATGAAATATATGCTACAGGACATAAGAGCAGGGACTATGATTTAAGGAAAGACGTGAACCAGAGCAAAGTTAGATGGCAAAAAAAGGATTTTTCTACCTATCCTCAGGTCATAGTGTGTAGTGAAATAAAGCTTGATTACTTGTAGATATTTACATGATTTATACTTTTGTAGTATCCTAAAGCTTCATAAAATTTCTTAAATGATAGCCCCCTGTAACCTAATAGAGTTATGAAAGCAGAACCATTTCAATCCTTTTAAAAGAGTTCTCAGAGAAAGTATCTGACTAAAAAAATTAAATAAAATTATAAGCACCACATTGAGACAGAAGTTGGAGCGCTTTAAGAAAATGTTGTATTAATTGTACTCACAAGCTGTGCCCAGTCTGGAGAATAACTTCAGGAGCCATCCAATATGGAGTACCCTTCATTGACTTGGCACCAGTCATAGTAGCCTGTACCAACATACAAACTTCAAATATGATCCAAAACTTTTACAGGATTTGATTTTGGAAAAGAAAATAAAACATTAAATGAAAGAAGAAAATAGCAAAGCAAATCGTTAATTGAAAGCACACAGAGTAGTCAATATTCGTACGAGTTCGACAACTTTCTTGGATGCACCAAAGTCTGCAAGTTTAATGCACCCCTTGTTATCAACAAGAATGTTTGCCCCCTGCATGAAGTGCCCATTACATGAGAGACAGAGAGAGAGAGATTGAGCTTTCTATATTATAAGAATTATCTGCGTGAAGGCACCTTGATGTCCCTGTGCATAATTCCATATTTATGAAGGTACTCCAGTCCCAACAACAACTGTTTTGTGTACATTCTAATAACCTGCTCATCGATCAGGAAGAAGACAAAAATGTTAATAGTGGCTGTTTCACATGCTTCGCATCCTTCTAACGGGCTACTTCATGTAGATCTAATAAATGTTAAGATCAATGAAGAAACTTCAGATTTTCAAATGAACAATCCTAACATGTGGAAATCACTTACAGACTCCGGGAACGATCCAAATTTTCCAAGAAGTGAAGAGATGGATCCACCAGGAACAAATTCCAATAATATATTCAACGATTCCTCCTCTCTAGCTGTTCCCAAATATCTCTGAAAACCAAAACAAAAACTTTAAAAAAGCCTTAAAAAAATAAAATAAAATAAAAAAAAAAGTCACTGCTTCCACCTATAACAAATTATCGAACTCACAACTATGTTTGGATGTGAGAGATTCTTTAAAAGCTTCACTTCTTCCTCGAGCTCTTTAATGTGAGCCTATCAAAGCAAAAAAACAAGCGATCGCAATCAATTATTTCTACAAATCAACCAAAACAACTACCTTGTAAGTTGGGACCTAAAATTACAAAACTATAAACTGTAAGAAAATGTTAAAATCGATCAAACTATTACCACAATATAGCATGGTTTCCGCGAATTGAACTAAATATGCTAAATTTACACACACTAACTGAATCTCAATGTTTTACCTGTGTTTTCTCCTTCGAAGCACTGTTTGCTGCAATTGAAACCTGCACAAATAAGCATCAGCAATATCAAAATCAAATGTACAAAAAACCCAAAAAAAAAAAAAAAACATAAATCAACACCTGTATCAATTCAAAAAAACAAACACAAAAATGAAAAATTAACCTGCTTGACTGCGAGGAGTTCTCCTGAATCAAGATTCATTCCCATATAAACCCTCCCAAAAGCGCCACAACCGATCAATTCACCTTTTCTCCATCGGATCGGAGGCGCATCATCTTTCTTAATTTTAACGGCATCGGCTTTCACAGTCGACGGCAGCGCCGGGAGCGGTGGCCTTGAGAAAAGTCCAACTCTTGATCTACGGATGCTGGAACCGATCTTCTCGACGAAGCCTCCGAAGCCGCCACCATCGTCACCGCCGGTCGGTTTGAAAACAAGCGACCGACGAACTGAGCCGATGAAGTCTTGCATTTGCGATGTGAATGCTGTTCTTGTTGGGGCTTGGATGTGATTGTGAGAAAGATTTGGTCTGCCAGAAAAAAACTAGGGTTCCGTGAGTTCCATGTCGTGTGACAGTGAAGAGAGAGGGGGAGAGAGAGAGTTGCAGGAGGGAAAAGGGTTGGGATCGTTTTTCAAAAATAAATAAATCAGGAAATGGAAATATGCATTTAAAATTGTGCCCACTACATTTTTGGCTTTTTGCATGTACACCTCCTAGTGTAGTGTATGTGTTTTCTAATGAGCTGGATCAAAATAAATTGGTCTAACACATAATGAAAATGAACAAAATCACCCATTTTTAAAAAGAAAAAAAAAACATTCTTAATAAAAACAAAATTATTAAATATAAATGTATATAGACTTATTGTCATATTTAATATATAAAAAAAAATAGACAATTTAGGTAAATCATACTAATATTTTTGCTATCCAAACCATGAATTGAGTTTTTCTCACAAATTTGTTGAAAACATTTCATGCTAACCAAATAAATTCTAGAAATTAAATTTTCTTATCCTTCACTTTACTTTATTTCATTTTCACTTTCTAGTATTGATTTTCATCTAACCAAACAAACCCTTAGGATTTCTTTAAGCTAATTTTATCTGTATTTGCTAAAAAAGGTTTGAAACAAAATGTCATATTTACTTCAAAATGCAAGTTAGGTTGAAACAAATTTATGAAATTTGCTTGATCTATTTTTTTTTGTTTAAATTCTATATTATTTGTTGAAATTTGAATCTACAAATCCATGAATCCTAATTTACACGCGTAACTAGTTTAGTATAATTCAACACATTTACACCATCCCAACCCATTAAACCAGGAAAATAATTATAGTTAAAAATAATAATAATTTAAGATTCTCTTTATGCTTCCAAAACCCTTCAGACTTCATGGTTGACATTATTCCACCCATTTAGAAAGATCTAATCTTTCCCGATTACACTGTCAAATACATTGTTATACTATTTTTCAAATATAACATGATAGTGTAAACATAATATAATCATTCGAATTAGACTATATAATCATTAATGTTGTTTCCTTACAAATGCAGTTATGGAAAAGGGCCGGCAGGCCCGAGTTTCGAAAGACTCAAAGAGAATCAAACGAAAGAAATCCTTTTAAATGATCACACAAACTATTGTGGAAGAGAAAAAATAAGAAAAAAATTATTTTTAGTTGTCAAATTTATATTTTGACAGGTGTTACAGTGTCAAAATGCTATATTTTAGCAATTCTGCTCCAATTATGTATTTCATGCCAAATGTTATTTTTTGACACACCCACCATTCTTTTTCAATTACCATTCCCACCATTCATATTTGCATCAGTAATATTAATATTAGGCACATTCCAAGTCAAATTGTAGATATTAGAAGGAAACTAAAAGTAAACATAATTAAAAGGAAACAAAAATCTAAAATATCTAGTAAAAAAAGGACCAATATATATATATATATATACACAAGGCAAGAAAGGTTAAAAGTTAGATTAGTAGGTGCAAAGAGTTGAAACATGGCACTCCCAAAATCCACCGGAAGCACTAACCACTGTGTTATTGTTATATAATTTTTTTTATATAAATTTTTTTTTTTTTCAGAAATTCATATATTATATATATTTGAGTATATTATTATTAAATATATATATTTTTGGGACAAATCATTTCAGCCTCCCCAATCGCCTCCATCTCTATTCTCGTTCTTAACTCTGAACTCCCATTCTCTCTCTCTCTCTGCAATTGCAAACTAGAAAATCTACAAGAATCAGAAGTTGAAAACCCATATATTTCAGTTTATCTATTTGTCTGCGAGAATCAAAAGATCAAAACCCATATCGGCATATCATTTTAGATTGTTCAAAAACCCATATCTTTCAGTTTACATTGCCTGCTGTTCCAGTTCGGGTTCGCTGTTCGCAAGCTTCAGCCGCTCTCTCAACTCTCAAGCTTGGTCTCTCTTTCTCTGCAACTGCTAAATTGTATGTATGGGTTTTGTTTTAATTTTTTTTCTAAATCAACTAATCAAGGTCTGTAATTCTTGTTTTGCAAACTAAATCCTATTTGGTGAATTTTTTTATGATCTTTTTTAAATATATATATATATAGACGAATTTGGGTTGAAATTATATTTTTTTTTTTGTGTGTGTGTGTCTGTGTGTGGTTGAAATTATATATATGTGTGTGTGTGTGTGGGGAGGGGGGTCGGTGTTAAAGAGCTACCAAAAAAATTTGGCAGCTCTTACATTGGAGATAAATTTTGAGATTTTCATTTTTTAAGAGGCCAAATGAAAGGCCATTGGAGTGGTGTTTTTTTACACATCTCACAAAATTATGAGTTTGAAAGCTCAAAATGAAAGAGCATTGGAGTAGGGATGTCAATTTTTACCGCCTCGCCGGGGCCCCACCTCGTCCCGCCCCATTAATAACGGATATGAGAAAACTTTTTATACCGTTGGGGCGGGTATGGATATAAATTTTGTACCCGTCGCGGGTCATGAGGCGGGTAAGGGTTTAGTATACATATTCTAGGGTCCCCGCCTCGCCCCGCCCCGCTAAACATATAACTATATTTTAATAATATTAATAAATTATTTTAGCAGCTTACCCAGTTATCCATCTATTACAATCCTAATTTGGGATGTAAACTTGGTATTAAATTTGCTTTTGTTTTGGTTATGGTGGAAGTTGAAGCTTAAAACTTCTTGTGATTTGGTTGTATTAAACTTTTATTTTTGTTTATTATATTCTCTGAATTATGTTATGTACATGTTATTTTTTTTTATTTTTGTTGGGATACATAATTTCATTTATGTTGTGTCATTCCCATGCTTTCCACATTTAAATAGCAGGAACTTAAGTTCCAAAAAGTGGGAGAAAAAAATTTGTTAGCTGAGCGGGCACGGGGGCAAAGTATTTCCTAATGGGACAGGGCTGGACATGAAAATCCAACCCGTCGCGAGTCTCGGGACTGGCATGGACTTGACAAAAATTAAAAGGGGCGAGGCAAGATTTAGGGAAACCCGCTCCAAACCCGCCCTGTTGCCATCCCTACATTGGAGATGCTCTAAGGAATTAAAATATAAGGAAAGATGAATGACATTGAAAAAAAATTGACAATGTATCAAATGTTCCCCAAGTACACTATTTATAGGCCTTTAGTAGCCTTACACGAGATACCCACAATTCTGTTTGCAACTACACAATAAAATCCATTATTTGTTTGTTCATTATACAGCTTTAGTCTCCTTGTGCCAATTGTCCCACTATATTGACATACCTTTTGTTTGCATGAGCTTTGTTTCCAGCTTCAAACTTGAAGGTAACAAGTGTCTAACCATTTATTCCATGATTTGCTACTGGAAAACCATTAGTCCATTATTTTCTTTAGTGCCCAACAACTTCTCTAATTAAATGCCACGTGTCCAACAGTTCAATCTTCACTTGTAATCCCATTTTCTTATAATAAATATGTATATATCCATTTTCTATAACTAATACACCCATGTTTATATTAATGGGTTTTATCTTCACCTTGAAATCAATATGTGACTCGTGTCCCATGCATTGCCCCGTGATTTTCAGCTTGTAAATCTTTAACCCATGATTCATTTACTCTATCCATGTGTCTTATTATCTCTATCCCATGATACATTAATTGCCAGTCCATTCTATAAGAAACAAATATTTGTGCTTGCCTATTTACTCTATTATATATTCTTTTAACAACCTGTTGGCCCATCACTATAATCCTCTTCCTTATTTGAAGGAGTCCCATTTCTCTCCACCTACCCACTTAGCCAAGCAATCACCATAATTTTAGAAATTGAACTAGCATACTAAAGAACCCACTTTGTGGCAAAATTAAATGGCTAGTTGTTACCCTTTAATTTTGCCACTTGCAAGCTCCCAATCTATCCAAATGTTGCCTTGTACGTTGCCATATGCCATCAGCTAAATTGCAGAAGTGTTGAAATTTAATTCACCTTTAATTGTGCGCATGTGTCAGCTAGTTATTGGTCCATAAATTGGTCCAATTGTCTCTCTCTTATTTGCCCACATCAATATTGAAGTGGCGCCATCTAGGCTGCCATTTTTGTCTGTCAACATAATTTTCCCTAATTTTTAAATGTCATATGGCTGTCTAAGTCAATAAGAGTTTTGAAATTTAAATTATATTGGAAGGAAATTTTCATAACTATGGTTGAACTAATAGTTGGAATAAAAATTACAAACAAGCAAACTTCAAACAATCACCAACTTCCTTTATTTCAGACCACCATGAATGGTCTTTATTCAATGTCAGTCTACTGCATTGACCGATCGTAGTTATTCCATAACTTCCCACAAAGTTGATTGATACCCTTCAAGGTTTCGGCCATCTATAGACCCAAGTTGGACTTTACTTTCTAAATTTTCCAACTACTTTACCAACAAAGCATAATCGTGATCGGTCGGGATTATGTAGTTATGTAGCATCATTATGACCGATTTAATCACTGTCGTCTTTACTGGAAAAATGGCATTTTGCTAGCATGGAATAACTTTGGTGCCTGATCTTCTCAAATTTCCCACCAAAAACTTTTGGTAGCAATTCATGCAAAGTCTTTGGATTTTCATCTTCTTTAGCTATGTCAGCCAAAAACACTTGCAATAAAAAAAATTTGATGGCCAATTTTCCCTCGATTGAGTGTCGGTCTAATGCAAACTGGCTGAAAAGCCTATTCTCTCCTTGATTTTTTATTGGGCTCTTCCTCCATCATTAACTATTTAGACTTCAGCAACTGGTTATGGAAGTTTTATCATCGGCCGTGAGACTTCTTTGAGTAACTTGTTGAAGCCAGCATTAGCTACACTTATTTTCATAATGGTGGATATTAGTCATTCTATTTCATCTATGCCTATGAACTTGATAGCTAAATGATTCTTGTCATACAACATTGCATCGATTGTGTAAAACTTTGGCCGATGTATTTTCTTCCACGAACTTGACTTCATCTCCATCCCAAATATTGATAATTGATAAAGAAGTGGTGAGGCACAGGTTTTCCTTCATGGACTCCTTTGTTGGATCAAGAGGGGGGGTGAATTAGTTAAAACTTTACTTGATTATACTTTCTTAACACAATTAAATAAAGCATTCACAGATC